CACGGAATGGCCCAGAAGCATCTGCTGGCCTTCCTTGCTGTTCCGTGCAGGCCCTCTTTGCCCAGCACCAGAACCTGCCACGATTCTGCCCGGCGAACCCCAGCAGACCTTCCGGAGGTGCCATACGGCCTACGTTTGTCGTCAATATGATTTTATTTACTTTGCAGGGGAATCCATGAGAGCCAGAAGCACTGTTGGGGCCATGGCGACCCCGGGGGTCACGGTGACCAGTCCCGCGCCTGGGGCAGGGCTGGGCTGGCAGGTGATCATATTTACAAACAAGACAGAACAAAACAAAACACAAAGAATTGCTCACCATGGACAACAGTAATCTGTTGGAAAGGATGGGAATTTCATTAGGTTTTCCCTTAAACAGCAGACCCCTGCCCGCCAACGAGAGATGCTGGAGAGAAGACGGCCAGGTGGCTTGATCTCTCTTTGCGTCTGAAACGTTATCTTCCCTCCTAGAGATTCAGCAAGACGTGTCTAGAGGGCCAGATGCCCACCGGCTGCGTGTCCCTCTGCCCTGCTCCCTGGAGGCCCAGGGATGCCCCTCCCCTGGTCCCACAGCCCTGACCCAGGAGGCCAGAGTCCCAGCGAGGGGGGGTTCCCAGCAGAGGGGGTGAGACCTCACGTCCACGTACCACATCCCTGCTGAAGAGCCTTGCACGCCTTGCACGCCCACACAGACAGGCTTCGTGCAGGGTCGCTGAGGTCATGGTTCATGGCTGATTTTTCTTGGGGGCAGGAGTGGGGTGAATTTTACAGAAGAGGCACAGAGAGGTTTCCCGTCGGCCGGGTACACGCAGCAAGGTGGGCATATGAGAGGTTTGGGGTTTGCTGACTCCCAAAGCAGGCAGAGCTCTGGAGTGGGGGATGTGTTGTGGCTCTTGGGCAAGGCTGCTGAAGGCCAGGGTCAGTGGTCTCTTCCCTGAGTAGCGGGTGAGGCCCCTGGGGCTTGGCAGACCACCTTAGCACAGCTTTTACATGGAGAGGCCCCGAGGCCAGCGGCGAGGCGGGTTGGGTGGGTGCCATCATCCCCATTCTACAGATGGGGAAACTGAGGCTCAGAGAGGCAACACCGCTCACCCCCTATGGGGAGCCGTGGCCTCAGGCTTCACGACTTTGGAGGAAGTGAACTGGCAAGTCCCTCTGAGCTAGGAATGTCCCAACACAATGTTTTCACTCCGAGGGACAGCCTCGTCGCCTGGCTTAGACACACAGGGCTAATCGGATCCTGGGCTGTCTGGTTCCCTCGAGTCTCTGGGGATGTGGCAGGTCCAGCTTGAGGGGTCCCTCCCTGGGCCGTAGGCCACCTCCTCTGGCCCAGTCCGTGCCCCTGCACGAGTGGTTCTTCCTGGGCGAACGCCTTTCCCTTCCTCCCACTCAGGGCACACAGACTGGAAGAGGCTTCCTTCTCTTTGCCGGGTGAACCCAGGGGTCCCTGACACCCCGTGGCCTCTCTGCAGGGGAGGAGAGGCCAGGCGGAGGATCGAGGCTTCCGCAGGGGCAGGGCAGTGTCACGAGCAGGTTCCCATCACCTTGAGGACAGCCACGCTCCAAGCGACTTCTCCCAAACAAGGAAGGGCCAAGAGAGCTCAGAGGCACCTCACAGAAAACGAGGCAAAACCCACAGAGCATCACCTCCACCACGACGGTCCCCAGTATCTGCCAGCCACCACCAGTTAGCCCGGGAGAAGCGTCCGTTTCGGGACCAGAAGCTTCCTCCTGTCTGGCCGCCCACCCCACCTGGGGCTTCCGGAAGGGCTCTCGTGGACAGACTCACAAGGACACGCGCTTTAGGTCCTGGACTTGAAAACCTCCGTGCTGCCTGACACGTGGCCCATCAGGACAACGTGCTGCTGATGGCACCCAGACCGAGGCCGCCCATGGAGCCGGGCCACCCCTCCTGGACCGCACGGCCCCCTCCCCTGAGCAGGTGGTCGGGGGGGGGCCCTCCCCATGCCGTCTGTTCCCCCCACACCGACCGGCTCAGGGACACCAATTCCCAGAACTCGTGAGCTCGAGTCTTCCTGGCTGGGACTTGGGTCGGAGCCTTCTGGAACAGCAGAACCAGGCCCCAACCGCACCAGCCTGGGCGTCCCCCAACCCCACCCCCCTGCCGTCCCTTCTTCCCCGGGGCTGGCGAGCCCCTGCCTTGCTGCCCCGTCCACACCTTCCATGCCAGCACACGCGCATCAGAGGCTCCCTCTCTTCCCAGGGCCCCCCCCCCGCCGACCACGTCGCGTCGGTCAGCACAGCCGTTAGCGGTGGGGAAATTAAGTATGCGCGCGCACGCACACCAGCCAATAACATTAAGTGTCATTTAAAAAAATGGGTTAAATAAGCGACATCACGGAGGATGGCCGTGCCGGGCTGATTATCCCATATTTGCACGTTTTGGAGGTGGGAAGGCTAGGAGTCTAATGACGGAATTATCACCCTAATGCCTTTTGCTGGCTGGGAATAATCCCGGGGCAACAGCTGCCGCGGGGTTTTTGGCTGGTTTCCTCTAATTGCATCCAGATTAAGGGAGCCCTGCGAGGCCCTTCCCAGCCCTCCAGCGCAGCCTGCCCTCCAGGAGCCCACACATCCAGGTCTCCGGCTTCCGAGACCGGCTGCTCTGAGAGGCGAAGGTCTCACCAGGGCCTGGCGCAGCGCACAGGGGTGTGAGGCGGGGGCGGCGAGGGTGGGCGGCACTTGGAAGGGGTCTTGGGGAGCTGCGGGAGCCGGGAGATGCAGCATGAATGCTTTGCAGCCAGGACCCTCCAAACTGAGGGATTCCCTGGACACCCCCCCCCCCACCACACACACACACACACACACACACGCACACGCACGCACACACATACACAGCAGCCCAAAGGCACAAGGTATCTCAGTAAAATGCACGGATGCTATCCTGCTAGATGGTGAGCCTAGAAGCACGCTTTCCCCTTGGGCGTCTCCTGCCTTTACAGGGGAAGCCATGCCCCTGACAGGAGGGCTCCCAAACAGGGTCACTTGGACCCAAGACTTCCCGGAGGTGGTGGCAGACTGTATGGTTTGTCACCCTCTGAATTCCCAGCCCCTGGCCGTCCCTGCGCGGCTCCTCTTGCTAAAGGGGAGGGTCCGGCTCCCCACCCCTGGGTGCTGACTCCGGCCATGTGACTCGCTCCGGCAACGGGATGACAGCAGGTGTGGCCTCCCCCAAGGCTGGGGAAGGCGCCCGTGCATTTCTGCTTCTGCACTTTTGCCTCGAGCGGGGCTAGCTCGCAGGGGGCGGTGTTCAAGAGACATGGCGCAGTGCCAGGTGTGACCTGTCCACCTGGGTGTCACCATCCCGAGCACACCCAGCCAAGACCAGAAGCACCCAGCCTAAACCGCTGACCCTCAGGCCTCATGCGAGACCGCCAGGCTTGGGGCTCATTTGTTACGCAGCACCGCCGTGGCGACGGATAACGGATGCTCCCGTTTGTGTGGATGTGGTGTCTACGGCAGGATCGGTACAGCGCCTGCTTAGCCGAAGCCTTTTCCAAAGCAGACCGGGGGCCAGCACAGAAAGGCACCCCCCTCTCCCCAGAGGCAGAGCAGGTGAGAAGTCTGCCCCCATCCAGCCTGGACCCTGCTGCTGGGCTGAAACAGCCAGCACCCCAGGATCTGCGGGCCGGGGTGGGGGCTCCAGGAGGGTCTCCCCAGAAGGCTCTGGGACAGGAGCCCCGGGAACTTGGAGATGCCAGTGTTGGCCGCCTTGCCTGCGAGAGGACTTGGGCTCACGGGGGACCGAGAAGTTTTGAGGGAGGGGGCCGGCAACTTCCTCTCTTCTGTGGATACACATCTTTTTCACGTGGCCCCAGCAGCATTGTTTGCTCTCCAGGGAGGAGAGCTGAGAGCGGGAGGAAGCCTTAGTTGGGGCTGTGTCTCCATGACGACCCCTTCGAGGGTGTGCGGGAGGGTTCCCGCCTCCACGATCCCAACGGTTCAAGAAGCGGCCTCCTCGTGCCAACGGCTGCATGGACGCTCTTCGGCTGGCTGGGAACCCTGCCATACCCTCCCCCGTCCACCGCTAGACCCCGGCAGGGGCGACGGCGTCCTGAGTGCCGGCTACATTCCTGCGGTCCACTGCCGCGCCCGACCACCTGCGAAGCTGACTTACGGAAGGCCCAGGCTGTGGGCAGGCCCGGGGGCACGTGGGAATCTTTCTAGTTCTTTTGGGTGCCTTTGTCTCGGTTGGTTACGTAACGCACCACCACTCCCCCTCAGACGTTGTCCATCCTGCCTGCACACACGGCCCCCGGCTGCTCGCTGTGTTCGGTGAGGTGGACCTTGGACAATGTCAATGATGCTCACGTAGAGCCGCCCCCACTACGGGAGGCGAGTCCGACAGCTCCCGGCAGCTCGAGGCTCGGGCTGTTTCCGAGGCATACCAGGAGTATAAAACATCTACACGGACACAAAGCCCCGAGCTTCTCACACCCTCCATCGCTCCCACATCTCTCTGCTCTGAAATCACCGGGCTTTCGTTTTTTGTTGTGTTTCGTTTTTGCAGACATCTTCCTATGAGCCGTGAAGCTGTGCAAAGCAAGACTGGCCTGCTCAGAAAATGGGGCCCGATGACGACGTGTGTCCAGCGTGCAGGGATGTCTCGGGCCGGGCCGGGCCCCCATTCTGTTCTGCATTCCCTGTGCTGCTGGCCGAACAGGCCTTCTGGTCCTTCCTCATCGCCCGGCAGTGTCGCTGGTCACTGATGGTGCCGGGGGAGCCCCTGGGCCAGACGGAGACCCAGCCCGCCTGCATCGGCAGGGGGAACCGCCGTGTGCTCTGGTCCCACTGCTTCGGGAGGTGACTCTTCTCTGGGCAGCTGGCGGGGCTTAACTTCTGTCACTTCGAGGCTCTGCTGATGTCATTAACACGAAAAGGTCCCCTTCCTGTTGCCACAAGTCTCTTCTTCCTTGTGTTTCCACCGGCCCATCCCCACCCCCTCCCACGTGCCCAGGACCTGCGGGCGCAGGCAGTCCGACCTATCTGCGGAAACCGAAGCCGTCCCGAGGCATCTTGGGGCCCTTCTTGCCTTCTCTGGGGGGCCTGGGCGAAGGCGTCTCCACCGTGCCCCCATAGGGGCAGCTCTCCCAGCCGGGGTGGTGGCCCGTGCACTCCACGGCGGGTATGTAGCCGCTGTCCCACATGCCGGTCCCGCACGTCTTACACAGGTCGTGCAGGCTGCAGGGGATGCGGGGCAGGAGGCGGAACTGGTGCAGCAGACTCCTGGCCTGCGGAGAGAGGACACGACGACACGCAGTGGGCGGGGCTGCCGCGGGGGGGGGGGG